TACTACTACTACTACTACTACTACTACTACTACTACTACTACTACTACTACTATTACTACTCTACTACTACTACTACTACTACTACTACTACTACTACTACTACTACTACTACTACTACTACTACTACTACTACTACTACTACTACTACTACTACTACTACTGCTACCACACTATTTCTATTACTATTAATACACCAGCAGCAACAACCATTCCTACTACTACTCTGAGTACCTCAATAGTTCTGGGGTGCGCAATAGTCCGGGGGCGGCCCCTGTAGTCCGGGGGTTGGGCCCCTGTAGTCCGGGGTGGGTTTTTTGGGGGCCCTTGTAGTCCGGGGGGGGCCCTTGTAGTCCGGGGGGGGGGGCCCTTGAAGTCCGGGGGGGGGGGTCCCTGTAGCCCGGAGGGAGGGGGGGGAGGAGGGTCGGTGTGATCTTCGCGGGCGACGTCCCGCTCGACGGACCGCCTTGCTTCCGGGTCATTGTAGTCCGGGGGTGGGTTCCTGTAGTCCGGGGGAGGGGCCCTTGTAGTCCGGGGGGGGGTCCTGGTAGTCCGGGGGGGGGTCCCTGTAGTCCGGGGGGGGGCCCTTGTAGTCCGGGGGAGGGGCCCTTGAAAGCCGGGGGGCCCCTGTAGTCCGGGGGACCAGAACTATTGAGGTACTCAGAGTACTACTACTACTACTACTACTACTACTACTACTACTACTACTACTACTACTACTACTACTACTACTACTACTACTACTACTACTACTACGACTGATGCGAATGCTACTGCTACAGCTACTGCTACGAATACTACTCCTACTACTGCTACTACAACGTCTACTGCTACTGCTACTACTAGTGTCCTACTGCTTACTAATGCTACTACTGCTGCTGCTACTCTACTCGTACTACTACTACTACTACTACTACTACTACTACTACTACTACTACTACTACTACTACTACTACTACTACTACTACTACTACTACTACTACGACTACTATTACTACTAAGAATACCACAACTACGACTACTACTACTCCTACTCCTACTCCTACTCCTAACTCTACTACTACTACTACTACTGCTACTACTACTAACTACTAACGACTACTACTACTACTACTGACTACTACAACCCCTAATACTATACTATACATACTACACTATAGTATAACTACTACGACTACTACTACTACTAAACTTACTACAATACTAGAAGTACTACTACGCCTGTACTATGCTAAACTACTACTACTACGACGAAGACGACGACGACTACTACTACTCTACTACACTACTACTACTAACCACTACTACTACAACTACAACTACAACTACAACTACAATACTACTAACTACTACACTACTACTACTACTACTACTACTACTACGACTACGACTACGACTACTACAACTACTACCCATACCACTCGGCATACTACTACTACGACTACTACTACGACTACTACTACTGCTACTACTACTACTACTCCTACTACCACTACTGCTACTACTACTACTACTACTACTACTACTACTACTCTACTACTGGTTCAGTAGTAGTCATAGTAAGTAAGTTGGTAGAGATTACTAACTACTACTTACTACTACTACTACACTACTCTCTACACTACTACTACCTAGCGAACGACGGCACTGCTAAGATTACGACTAACTACGACTTCGAAACGGTACTACTATATGCTTAACTAACTCATCTACTACTCTAGTACTACGAACTCTACTACTACTACTGCTACGAATACTATTACTACTAATTAACGCCGGCTACTGCTGAGCTACGACTACTAAAACTTCGACGGCTACTACTCCTACTATACCACTACAACTACTACTACTAACTACTACTCTACTTTACTACTACCTACTACTACTACTACTACTACTACTACTACTATTACTACTACTACTACTACTACTACTACTACTACTACTACTACTACTACTACTACTACTACGTTGGCTACTGCTAAGACTACGACTGCTAGGACTTCGACGACTACTACGACTACTGCTACGACTACTGCTTTGACTGCGACTACGACTACTACTACTACTACGACCACTACTACAACTACCACTAGTCTACGACTAATCTACTACTACTACTACTACTACTACTACTACTACTACTACTACTACTACTACTACTACTACTACTACTACTACTACTACTACTAACTAATACTACTACTACTACTACTACTACTACTACTACTACTACTACTACTACTACTACTACTACTACTACTACTACTACTACTACTACTACACTTACTACTACTACTACTACTACTACTACTACTACTACTACTACTACTACTACTACTACTGCTACTACTACTACGACTACTACGACTACTACGACTACTACTACTAACTACTACTCCTACGCCTCTACACGAATACTTACGACCCATACTATCTACAACCCACTACCTACTTACTACAACCCACTACCTACTACTACAACACATACTACTACTACTACTACTACTACTACTACTACTACTACTACTACTACTACTACTACTACTACTACTACTACTACTACTACGACTACTGCTACTGCTACTGCTACTGCAACTGCTACTGCTACTGCTACTACTACTACTTCTACTACTACTACTACTACTACTACTACTACTACTACTACTACTACTACTACTACTACTACTACTACGACTACGACTACGACTACGACTACTACGACTACTACGACTACTACGAAAACTACGACTACTACGACTACGACGACTACTACGACTACTACGACTACTACGACGACGACGACTACTACTACTACTGCTACTGCTACTCCTACTGCTACTACTATTACTTTTTCTGCTTATAATACGACGACAAATTCTATGACTGCTGCTACCACAACCGTTCTTCAGAGTGCGCCTGCGAAGACCGAAGTGGTGCCAATTCCAACTCTGGCACGTATGTTGGCTTCCAGAATAAATGCGGTGACATAAGAAATACCACTTGGTTGTTGCGCTTGTCTTGAGCCGCTCTCTACAATGTTTCCTAATGTGGGCTTATCTTCCATTGGTTGGGATTCGGACCAGTTTGCTTTTCGTGCGGATTGGGATTGGTACCAGTCGGTTGTGATTGGGACCAGTCGGTTGGGATTGGGTCGACATGCGGTCCCACCTCCCCGCGAGCGAGCCACACGAGCATGCATATCGACTGCCCCGCTGCCGCCCACCCCTCCCGGTGTGTAAAAAGATGGACATGGGAATCTCGCAACCTGACCCTACACATGTGAAACTATCGGTCAAAGCCTCTGGAGGAGGCGGAGGAGGAGGGGGAGGAGGAGGAGGAGGAGGAGGAGGAGGAAGGGGAGAGAGGCAGCAGGCAAGTATCTTACCGTCGCGGCGGATCGCTCCACAGCTTCACACCTGACCCGCATGCCCTGCTTCCGGCATAGTTCCTAAACGTGTCGGTCGGCCTTTGAGCCACAGAGCCACGCTGCCTTTTCGTTGATCCCATTCCGCGTGAGAATATCACGCGTGGGCTAGTCCGAGACTGCCTGCTCTTGCAGGGTCTCTCCAGTGCACGCTTCAACAACGAGAGCTTCCTCAACGACAGCCGCCGCAGTGAGGGTCTCCTCTTTGAAGGGCTCCGTTGTGTATCCTCGACGAAGGTATTGTGGTAGGCCATGTCGCCCTTGCCAAACGTCGGAGTGGAGCCCGTCAAGGAGGAGGAAAAGGAGGAGAAGCCCAGCGTACCCAGAGGAGGAGGAGGAGGAGGAGGAGGAGGAGGAGGAGGAGGAGGAGGAGGAGCCAAAGCGGGAGGAGGGTTACGAATCGCTGCCGAAGCGGGAAACATGAAAAATCCAAGGGTGCAAACTGGCTTCCGCAGCGCTATGCCCAGAACGGCTACTGAGGCGGGTCCGTGCTCCATCTTGTCCTCCTGCTCCGAAGAGGAAAAAGAAGGAACGAGGAAAGAGGACGAGGAGGAGGACCCTTGCACCACTCGTGGGGATCCTCGAGGAGGAGGAGGAGGAGGAGGAGGAGGAGGAGAAGGAGGAGTAGGAGTGGGAGTAGGAGGAGGAGGAAAGATGATGGAAGAGGAGTAGGAGGATCCTTGCACCACTCGTGGGCATCGTCGAAGTCCGACAGCCTGGCCGTGCGGAGCTCGAAAATGTTGTGGACGACGCCGTCCACGGTGGAGATCTCCTCCGCTCTGGCTGCTGCAGAGCAGGATTGCCGAGGCCTCCACGCCTTCTGCCCTCCCTCGACCAGCGCTGGGGTGCCCACGATTTGCTCCAGACCTCCCTGGAGATCTGTGGACCTGCGCCGATTGGTCCGGATGTACCGCGACCCGTGGCAAGCTTACCCACACCAGCTGGTGGGAAAAAGCGGTCAGAAGCATGAAGCAGGAAGGCGTTGCAAAGAGAGATTGGGCTTCCGCGGGATGAGGGAGCACCCCTCCACTCTCGAAGCAGGAGAGCGCCTGACGTATATTTGGGATCTGGGAATCCAGCAACACATACTTCCAACGACCGGCGTGTGCTTGCCTGGCCTGATCCCCGCAAGTCGATTGGAGGAGAGTCGACAAGCCCTCGAGGACAAGAAGAAGGTGCGGGGGAACGGCGAGGAAGCGCGCCCGTGGTGGCAATATCCCCCCGCCGGCATTCGCCAGGCGCGGTGCCAGAGCCTGTCCTCCACCCTCCTTCCTCCTCCTCCTCCTCCTCCCATTCCACTCCTCCCCATCCTTCCCCATCCCTCCTCTTCCCTCCCACCTCCATCCTCCGTCTTCATCCTTCCCTCCTCCTCCTCCTTCTCCTCCTCCTCCTCGTCCCCCTCCTCCTTAGTATTAGTATAGATAAAAATATCAGATGTATTAGTATTATTAAGTTGTTATCCTCCTTATTCGTAAGCTTGTTCTCGATATTCGACCTAGTAGTAAGCGTATTAGTCGTAAGAATCTGGCTCTGTTAATTCATAGTAGTGTTAATGCTCATATTACCCGTAACATGCTTTGTAGTACTAGTAGTAGTAGTAGTAGTAGTAGTAGTAGTAGTAGTAGTAGTAGTAGTAGTAGTAGTAGTAGTAGTAGTAGTAGTAGTAGTAGTAGCAGTAGTATTAGTAGTAGTAGTAGTAGTAGTAGTAGTAGTAGTAGTGGTGATGGTAGTAGTAGTAGTAGTAGTAGTAGTAGTAGTAGTAGTAGTAGTAGTAGTAGTAGTAGTAGTAGTAGTAGTAGTAGTAGTAGTAGTGGTACTACTCCTACTACTAATACTGCCAGTAGTCGACATACTAGTACGACTACTAGTACTCGAGATAGTGTTCGCATTGCTACTACTGTTAATCATAACTGTCATATGACGGTTACTATTACTAGTACGATTACTCGTACTCTTACTCCGACTACTAATACTAATACTGTTACTAATACGACTACTGCGACTAATACTACTAGTATTATTTACGAGTACGACTTACTACTAGAACTACCATCATCATTTTTACTCGAAGTAGCATTCGCATTCCTATTACTACTCCTACGACTACTCTTACTACGACTACGAGGGCTACTATTACTAATACTCATACTACGACTACTGCGACGACTACAAGTAACACTACCACTACTACTACTACTACTACTACTACTACTACTACTACTACTACTACTACTACAACTACAACTACGACTACTGCTGCGACTACTACTACTACTACTACTACTACTACTACTACTACTACTACTACTACTACTACTACTACGGCTACTCCTAGCAGTACCACCACTACTACAATTACTACGACGACGACGACGAGGACGACGACGACGACGACGACTACTACTACCAGTACCACGACAACTACTACTGCTGCTACTACTAATAATAGTACTACAACTAATACTACTACTACGACTACGACTACGACTACTAACTACTAAGACTACAACTACGACTACGACTACGACTACAACTACGACTACGACTACGACTACGACTACGACTACAACTACGACTACGACTACGACTACTACTCCACTGCTACTACTACTACTACTACTACTACTACTACTACTACTCCTACTCTCTTACGCCGACTACTACTACTATACTTACTACTACTAACTACTACTGCTAACTATACTACTACTACTACTACTCATACTACGACTACTTACTACTATACTACCTACTACGATACTCGTACTACTACTACTTACTTACTAGTACTACGACGACTACTACTACCGATACTACTACTACTACTATACTACTACTAATACTACTACACTATACTACTAGTACGAGTAGTAATAGTAGTAGTACTACTACTGCCTGCTACTACTACTACTACTTACTACTACTACTACTACACTATTACCACTGTACTACCACTGCACGACCACCTATACTTACTACTACTACATACTTACTACGACTACTTAATACTTACTACTACTACTACTGACCATACTACTACTACTACTACTACATAACTACTACTACTACGACTACTGACTACTATTACTTACTACTACTACTCCTACTTATATAACTACTACACTACTACTACTCTACTACGACGCTTACAAACACTATTATTACACATTGCGTGTTTTGTGGTAGTAGTAGTAGTAGTAGTAGTAGTAGCGTAGTAGTAGTAGTAGTAGTAGTCGTCGTCGTCGTCGTCGTCGTCGTCGTCGTCGTCGTCGTCGTCGTCGTCGTCGTAGTAGTAGTAGTAGTAGTAGTAGTATGATTCTTCTCAGTATTGATATTTGAATATTAACAACTATGTTTGTATCACTCCTCCTCCTCCTCCTCCTCCTCCTTCTCTCCTCCTCCTCCTCCTCCATCCTCCCCTCTGCCACTCCCTTTTACCCCCACCCCCACCCCCATCTTCCATCCTTTTCCCTTCTCCCTTCTCCCTTCTCCTCCTCCTCCTCCTCCTCCTCCTCCTGCCTCATCTCTTTGCACCAGACCTGGGGGAGGCTATGGGAAGCTGGGAAGGATCTGGCGTCATAAGGGGCACTTCGCGCCGTTGCGGCGGTCGGCGTGGCGCAGGCGTGCCAGCCCAGCGGACTGGCAGCGTGACGCGCGACAGCCGGGGCACCACAAACACGTGCCCGTCCGCCTCCCATCCTGCCACACTTCGTGTAGGGGATCGACTACAGAATTGATCTACTCCAGAATCTTTGTTTCCCCAAAGAACTCCCCTAAACAATACGTATAATGTTCGCAGATCTACGGGACCTTTTACGTATTTGTCCTAGACTCGACGAACGAATCCGCCGACCCCTTGGGCTCACAGCGTGTGAGATGCTTCCCCCTCCCCAAACCCCTCCCCCGGGGGCCTGGTCCGGCTGGTTTGGAGGGGGGGGGGGGGGGGGGGAAATCCATCATCCGCACACATGGAGCCTCAGGAGGCCCCCAAAACGCGCCAAAAAAGTTCCAAAGGTTCCCGGAACGGTCCAAGAGAACTACGAATCGACGAAAGATCGCCCCCAAACGCCGAAGATTGCCTCCACACGGCTCCATAAGTCCCCAAGACGTTTGAAACAATATTGCGAGGTGCCCCAAAGAGGTCCTCCAGAAGCAAAAATCGTCCCATTTCCTATGGAAAACGTATACTTTCACCACATTCGCCCATTCGGCTTCCACGCGGCGCAAAACGGCCCAAGAAGCCTCCAAGATCGACCCTCGCCACCCCAAGAGGCTCCCAAAAAGGCTCCAACACGGCGTCCAGGCGATCCACGAAGGCCCCAGAAACCATAGCAACGGCTTAGGAAAGCCGCAGGACGGTCCCAAGAGGGCCCCAAAACGGAGCAAGAGGGCCCCCAAAGGCTGTCCGGACGGCCCACGCGGGGGGCGTGTCGGTCCAAACCGCCCAAGATCGCCGCTAGACGGCCCCATGGGTGTCCAAGACGTTTGTATACGCGACCACGAGGCGCTCCAAGAAGGCCTCCAAAAACAAAAACCGTCCCATTCCCCAGGTAAAACGTATATTTTCAGCAAATTCGCTTCTTGGGCTTCCACGAGGCCCACAACGGCCCAATAAACCTCCAAGATCAACCCCTGTCACCCGAAGAGGCTCCCAAGAAGGCTCCAAGACGGCTTCCGGGCGATCCACGAAGGCTGCAGAAACCATAGCAACGGCCCAGGAAAGCCGCAGGACGGTCCCAAGAGGGCTCCAAAACGGGGCAAACGGGCTCCCAAAGGCTGTCCGGACGGCCCACGCGGGGGACGATTCGGTCCAAACCGCCCAAGATTGCCTCCAGACAGCCCCATGGGCGTCCAAGACGCTTGCATACGCGACCACGAGGCGCTCCAAGCAGGCCTCCAGAAGCAAAAACCGTTCCATTACCTGGGAAAACGTACATTTTCAGCAAATTCGCTTTTTGGGCTTCCACGAGGCCCACAACGGCCCAATAAACCTCCAAGATCGATCTCTGGCACCCCAAGAGACTCTCCAAAAGGCTCCACGACGTCCTCCGGGCGCCTCACGAAGGTCCCAGAAACCATAGCAACGGCCCTGGGGAATGGCAGGACGGTCCTAAGAGGGTTGAAAACGTGTCTAGAGGGGCCTCACAGGCTGTCCGGACAGGCCACGCGGGTGACGATTGCTTCCGCCCCAAGGGGTTGGCGGTGTGGCGTAAGCAAATGAATCAATTCTGGGGCAAATCAGTTCTGCAATCGACACCCTACTCGAACCCTCCAGTGCCTATCGTCCTGGCCCCGTCCTCACGTGGCCCGTCTTCGCCCGTCCATCTCGCCGCCGTTCCCCCCTCCCCTCATGTAGCGGCACGCCTTCCCCCGCCTCCTCCGCCACGAGCCTGGCCGCGAGAGTCGCGGCCTCGATCAGAGAGCGCGGGCGGGGCGGGCCCGCATGGCCACCTGCGGCACGAAATGGGCCCAACTCTCTTCTTTTGCTGGCTCTTGGAGCCTGGGGCCTGCTGTCGGCTACACGCAAGAGTGACCGCTGGGCAAGAGAGACCTTGAGTGCGCGGACTAAGGTGGCGGGCGCAAGGTGGCCAGATCCGAGCGCGCAAGCAATCACTATCGCATCGCGCTCAACGATCGGGGGGACCCTGGTGAGCCCGCACCAGAGGTAACTCTGGCGAAGGGCCACCCCTGCGTGCAGTCGATGCCAGAGCAGGCCCAGGGCTTACCGTTGAGGGCAACACCCGGCGAAGCTGGCGCCGTTCAGAGTACGGGCCACCGGCCCAAGCGCCACTCCCCTGTACCCCAGCCCTGGTCCCCCCGCTCACCTCTCCGAAACGCGCGCGAGCGTGACGTGGCCATGTCGAGAGTAGGGCGGCGAAATCTATGCATGTCCACTGCTCCCTGGCCAGGCCCATCCTGAACCCATCAGCGGTGTATACGCCACGCCCCGTGCAGCCTTACCTGTCCTCCTCCTCCGCCTCCGTCATTATCCTCCTCCTCCTCCTCCTCCTCCTTCTCCTTCTCCGCCTCCTCCCTCGACCCTTTTCTTCATGAGCAACTCCTTCTCATCATCGCACCCCCAGACGTGTCGGTAGGGCGGGCCTGGCGTTTCGCCTGGGACTTCCTCACCAGTCGTGGTCCAAAATCTTGATTTGTCTGACAGTTTTCCAGGATGGAGGGCGGGTGGTTTTCAAAATGTAGAGGACGCCTTAGCGCCGCACGCAACCGTCTTTAAAAGTGTGCAGCAGCTTCAAAGGTGGAGGGTGGGCCGTTTTCAGAAGGTGGCTCTCGCCTTAGCGAGGCGCTCATTCGTCCGTAAAAATTACGCTGTTCCAGAGATGGAGGGCGGTCGTTCTAAAACATGTGGCTCTCGCCCTAACGCCGCGCACATCCGCCCTGAAAATTTTCACCAGTTTCAAAGGTGGAGGGCCGCTGGTTTTCAAAATGCGGTTCTTGCCTAAGCGACGCGCGCATCCGTCATAAACAAATGTAACGGTTGCAATGATTCGTATGGCTGAAGTCACTCGAATAATTTTCTAGTTTGATATAAGATTATTCGAGCGCAAACGTCACGCCGATTCGCGGTGTTGAAGTTCCTGATTGGAACGATGTTCTGGCAAGACTTGGGATTGTCAGGACGTTGATGCGCGGCGCGGAAGCCCCAGGAACGGTGTCTGGGCAAGATCGAAGGTTCTCGGACGGTTGCCTTCCAACGGGGCAATGAACAGCACATTTTGGGTGGGACCTGTGAACAGGATTGAGGGAGGGTGTGTTGCAACATCGTTGATGCCCCTGGGGCTCACAGTCTGCACATGTTCTTGCGCAGGCTGGAGGGCGCGCACAATGTCAACCCGACAGCGAGAGCCACAGAGAGACAGAAGGGAGGCACAAGGCACTTTTTTTCGTCAGCGGCGAGGCGGCGAAATCCGCACCAGCGTGAAGCTAGATAGGGCACTAACTGGCGAAGTGGCCAGCGAGCAGAGAGGGAAGGGGGACGGCCGAGAGGAAAGAGGGACGCTCAGACGCCGAAGAGTTCGACGATGAGCAGCCGGGCGGGCAGCAGCAGCCGGGCGCGCAGGAGGCACGAGACACATTCACATGATGGGGCAATCTGCACCTGGTCCTCCTCCTCCGCCGCCCTCCCGTGCCCACCGACTCCTCTCGTCCGCCGGGGTGCGGGGGCGGGCCCCCTCTGGGGCGCGCCGAGGACGGGGCCGGCAGAAGCGCCCAACGCCGGGAGGAGGGATGGTGGCAGGGGGGGGAGGGGGGGGGGGGCATCACGAAGGGAAGGGAGGGGAGCGGAGGCGCGAGCGAGGAGGGACGAATTGGGGGGAGAAGAGGTGCGTGCGGGAGGTTGAGTGCAGGACGAGGGAGGGAGGAGGATGGAGGACAGAGGGGGGAGGCAGGCGGGCGGGAATACAGGGAGGGCTGGCAGGTTGATGGGGAGGGGAGGGACGAGGGGGGCGAGGAGGACGAAAGGGGCGGGGAGATTGGCAGGCAGGCTGGAGGGGGGACTGGCGCATCGAGGGAGGAGGGAGGGCAAGCGTGGGGGGAGGGCGCTGGGCCCCCTCTGAAACTGGAGGCCGCTGGCACCTTCCCGCGCGCGGCTCGCGCCGCACGCGGAGGGCGCGGAGGGGAACGGATGATCAGAGGAGGAGGAGGAGGAGGAGGAGGAGGAGGAGGAGGAGGAGGAGGAGGAGGAGCAGGAGGAGCAGGAGGAGGAGGAGGAGGAGGAGGAGGAGGAGGAGGCCTCCGCACCGCGGGTGACCCCTGGAGCGGTGCTCCAGGGGTCTGGCCCTAATTTGATCACCCCCCCCAGGGCCGACCGGCCCATATAGCCGACAGGAGTCAGGAATCAGGAAGAGGAGGATGAATGAGAACAGCAGGGGTCTGACGATGGCGGTGGCGGCGGCGGCGACGAGCAGCGGCAGCGGCGGTGGCAGCAGCGAGTGGCAGTGGCAGCGGCAGCGGCGGCGGCGGCATTGGCGGCGGGGGCACCGGAGTGGGGAGGAGGCGCGGGAGGAGGAGAGAGCGGAGGAACGATCGCCGATGCCTGATCGACTTTCACCACAACTGCCAGCCCGCCGTTCGTGAGCCCAGCGGCCAGTGCTCATGAAATGTTACCTGCATGATGGCCCCTGTTCTTCCAGTGATGTAAACAACAAGCTCCGATGAAACGGATGATCAGAGGAGGAGGAGGAGGAGGAGGAGGAGGAGGAGGAAGAAAAGGAGGAGGAGGAGGAGAAGGAGGAGGAGGGGAGGAGGAGGGAGGAGGGGGAGGGGGAGGAGGGGAGGAGGGGGAGGAGGGGGAGGAGGAGGGGGGGAGGAGGAAGGAAGGAGGGGGAGGGGAGGAGGAGGAGGAGGAGGTGAGGAGGAGGAGAGGACGAGGAGGAGGGAGGAGGAGGAGGAGGAGGAGGGGGAGGGGGAGGAGGACAAGCTAGGTGCGCTCGCGTCATATCTGACATCCTACCCCTCCCTCCCATCCCTTACCATGGCGTAGATCCCCTCTCTACTCGCACAGTCGGATGTCGAGCAGGGCAATGATCCCGAAAGGGTACGCGATGCATTGTAGAGCACGGCATGGCATGGCGTAGAAGAGCACCGCAAAGCGTAATATCAACCTAGCATTGCATTGCATGCCGTGGCATGGCACGGGAAATGACGCCAGCGCTGCAGCGGAAGCACGAGTCGAAACGAGCGGAAGCGCGGAAATGAGGCCAACGCTGCAGCGGGAGCACGATTCGGAACGAGCGGAAGCACGGAAATGAGGCCAGCGCTGCAGCGGGATCACGATTCGGAACGAGCGGGGCCCGAAAATGAGGCTGGCGCCTCAGCGAGAGCAGCATTTTGTAAAAAATGCCAGCGAAAACCCAACTCCGGGGAAACCTGTGTAAAAAACAATACGCGGGGGGGGGGGTCGAGCACTTTCAAACCGTCATCAGGGGAAGAGGGAGAGTAGTATTCATATTGAGTAACTGTAGAAGGAGGAGGAGGAGAAGGAGGAGGAGGAGGAGGAGGAGGTCTCCGCGGGTGACCCCTGGAGCGGTGCTCGCCAGGCCCAAGCCTTTACCTCGGGCATGCTCGGGCCACCGCCCCGAGGCCTGGCAGGTCACACACACACATACACACACACACACACACACACACACACACACGCATCGGGCCCTGCCGCGCACCACGAAAGGCGCTGTGCCGCCAAGTCGGCGGATGCACACGCAAGACTGCCTGAGACGCCATGAGTCCTCGAGCTGGCAGGAGAGCCCAGAATCGAATCCATAAGTCGGATCGGCGATCAAAAGGAACAGGATCGGCAGACATCGGCAGCCCAGGCATGAGAAGTCGACTCGGCGGAAACCAGTAGGCCACCGGGCCTCTATCGAGCCATCGGCCTTCAAATCGGAATCCCAAGTCTAACTGCATCGGCATTGAAAGCCACTGGAACCAAATCGAATCAGATCGGAGGAGCCGAACTGAGCCCTGGCTGATGGCCAATATCTAGAGGCCTCCTAGGTTGGGGTCCGAGTAGATAGGGTCGGAGGATCGTGCCGCATCGCCAGTGCATCGTCGATGCATCGGCGACGTCGGCGATGCATCGACGACGTCGGCGTGGGGAAGCACGGGCTCCACATGGAGCCGCATCGCCGATGCATCACCGATGCGGCGGGATCCTCCGACCCCATCTGCTCGGACCCTGTCCAGGAGGCTTAGGCGAACTGAGCCCTGGCTGGTGGCCCGCACACCGAACAGGGCCTGCGGCACAGCCCAAAGCTCGGCCCAGGGAGGGGAGCCCGACGGCACGCGCCCCTGGGGCTGCAGTCGGCGCGGGGCGGGACCAGAAAGCGCCGGCTCGGCACCAGAGCAGAGGAGGGGGAGGGGGAGGGGGAGGAGGAGGAGGGGGAGAGGGAGGAGGAGGAGGAGGAGGAGGAGGAGGAAGGAGGAGGAGGAGGAGGAGGGAGGACGGAGGAGGAGGAGAGGAGGAGAGGGATGAGGGAGGAGGAGGAGGAGGAGGAGGAGGAGGAGGAGGAGGAGGAGGAGAGAGGAGGAGGAGGAGGAGGTGTAGGAGGAGCAGGAGGAGGACAGAGGAGGATAAGGAGGAGGACGGAGGACGGAAACGAAGGAGAGAAGGACGGGGAAGGAAGGAAGGAAGAGCAACGAGCGAAGGAAGAGGAGGAGGAGGAGGACGAGGAGGAGGAGGAGGATGACAACGAACAAGAGGAGCAGGGAGACCCATCCCCTCCGCGCTGCAGATGTCTATGCCGTGGCTGGTGATCAGCTCGCAGAGCTTGAACAAAAGCCCCACCCGGTCCGAGCTGAGCACCTGCCCTCTGGGCCACTGCGACCATTGAGCGCCCGGCAACATCAGGACCCAGAGCGGCCCTGTGTAATAGCGATAAGTCTTTCGAAACTTACCCCGCGACAGGCGGTAACTAATTATGTGTTCGGCGACCTTATTGAAGGACTGGGGCCCCAACAATAGGGGGGCAACTAAATATTTCCCAACCATCCTGTGGTGTTGGGTCCTCGTTTTGAAGAGACGTCGCCCCGCGTTCCTCCTCCTCCTTCCTCCTCCTCCCCTTCCTCCCCCCTCCTCCCCCTCCCACACCCATTCTGGCACACCCCTCACACGTTTCGTGGCCCCATAATGGCTCCACCGAAGGCCCCAGTGGCTGCACCCGCATGCGGTTCCACCCCCCATTCTGGCACACCCCTCACACGTTTCGTGGCCCCATAGGGAGCTCCACCGAAGGCCCCAGTGGCTGCGCCCGCATGCGGTTCCACCACCCATTCTTGCACACCCCTCACACGCTTCGTGGCCCCATAGGGAGCTCCACCGCAGGCCCCAGTGGCTGCGCCCTCAGCGTTTCAAACCCCCCAATTCTGGCACACCCCTC